GCCTCAGCCCCAAGCACGGCAGGAACGGTCCCCTGCCCGTAGAAACATTGCTGAATGCTTCGGCCGGGTACAATGATGCATCCATGATACATCCAGGATTCCAAGAGAGTCAGGACATCAACTTTTTCACCGGTCAAAGAGCCTCAAAACCTTCTGATGTCCTAACCCCTGAGCCCCAGACGAAGACATAGATGATAATGGCCAACAACACCAGTGCCCATATCAAGGACCTGATCGAGTCCTGAGCACCAATCATATCCAGAACTATTTTGGCTTTTTGTTGGTTCGAAGGCTGCTTTTCTCCCTGCTTAGTCGGAATACCACAAAGGGCTTAGGACTTAGGGCCTAAGGTTGTCTGGGGAAGGGAACAAAATGCGTGTCTCCGGCCCTCTGTCAAGCGGCGGTGATCATCAGTGCCAGCTGCGTCAGCTGCCGAAAGAAGCGAAATACTCTGAAGACTCCTTCGTACGAGCAGCATGACCCGCCAGGGGGGCTCACACCGTAACAGATTCACTCCAAGCTTCGGATAATGCGGAGGGTCTTCAACATCTTCACCGTGTCGAAACCATTTGCGCCGGCACCCATGGCTCCTTGTGGCAGGGCAACGGGCTGGCAGCACAGGCAGACCAAGAGCAGAGGGCAGACCCAGCGCTCTTTTGCTTTCGAGCGTCTCACCACCACAATGTCAAGGAGGGACATGGCGACCAGCACGAGGTCGAAGAAATTCCTCAGATCGCCATCGAAGCAGTCCGCTTCCTTCCCTCTGCCACGGCAACCGAGCTGACTTGACTGCAGCACGGCTGCCACAATCGCATATCCAAATCCGTAAACCAGCTGGCCTGCTGAACAAGCGGTGAGAACATGCAGCTGGCACACAAGGCTGCAAGAGATGCCCAAGACGATGCCAGATGGCAGCATGAGGGGGGCCTGATGCGCCCCGATCCGCAAAGTCAGCTCCTTAGCAGCTATTCAGAGCCGCTTGCATGAAATGAAGCGTGCAAGCGACGACACTGGCAAACAGCTAGCACATTCTTGTGCGACGTTTACCCTCGAGATCCTGGTCCAAAAGCTCACATGGCGAGGTGCGACAATGAAATAAGCGGTGCAGAGCTGACTCACCAACTCCACACCTCAATGCAGATTCAACTCGTTCCACCGCGGTCGCTGTCGCTGCAAGGTATCAAGTGGAGGGGCCAGCAGGCAGCGCCACGTCCATAGCTGCGTATTGCCTGGCAGGTCAGCTTCTGTGTCCAACCCACATCCAGCCCTAACTCCGTCTGCCGCTGAATGCAGCAAGTCACGTTTCAACGCCAATGCTCGCCGCATTCAGCAGAATGACCAAGGCAGTCAAAGCGTCAAAGAGAGGATGCGTCACCTCAGGCGAACACCGAAGCTAAAACATTCGAAGCTTACACCCACTCTCAACTTCGGTACAGATGTGGCTCTCGGCACTTCAGTGCCAACAAAAAACTAAGTGTCACGGAGGAGGTTCGTACGCCGTCGATATCAACTTCCAATCAAGAACGGACCGGCCACCGACCAAGACGGGATCCGAAATGCATGAAGAACAACTCCGACCAAGGACCGGAACGTGCCCCAATGCTTCAAAACGTGCAGTCAGCAAAAGGCTTGCAGATGTAACGGGCCGGGAGATGTCACATCTAAGAAATGATCCCCTTCAACATCCCCCACAGCGGAATGGCTGTCCTCACTTTATGGAGCACCAGAAAAGCAGACAGAGCTGTAGATGGGCTGTCCATGGCTGCACATGCCCGACAATGAACACCCAAGGCCGAATGGCCTTGGTCGGGGCTTTGGGAACTCAAATTCGTTTGAGCCTCGGGAGTGGGGTCTAAATTTGTTTCCCACAGCTCTAAATAAATGCGTTTCCGGTGAAAAATGCACTCTGAACCCGCACCGGAACCTGCCCCAAACCCTGTTGCGGCTGAAAACCGCAAAAGCTTGCGCTTTTGGCGCAATGCCGGACCCCAAAGATCGGCCCTGATAGACCCCACACCCGCTTCGGGGGCTGCAACACTCCCTTCCTGGACATGGTTCCACCATCACCGTTAAGGGATGTGTTATTGTCTTTTGAACGGCTCGTGACCCATTCTGATCGAGAGTTGGACCACTTTATTTGCCCTGCCGGCACTCAGCAATCAGCGCAGCACTGCACATCGTCCGGGGTCGGCGCCACCAGAACTAGCCGCTGCCGATCGAACCATGCTGGCTCTCTTTCCGGGTCCTGCACGGATGAATATGTCTTCACTTCGCGGCAGGACGGGATGTTGTAGCATACCACTGACCTCGTCGCCCGTGTAGTGGTCAGCAGCAAATGTTTTCTGGCAGCATCGGACAAGCATTTGCGTCGAAACAGCCTTCAGCGAAACTTAGGAGATGTAGAAGCTCCGCTGTGCCTGGTTCAGCTGCTTCCGCAACCTGAAAGAAGTGGGCACAGAGTGTCACTCCAAACCCCATCTCACCGTCGGCTAACGGGCCTTAGGGTCTGTGACGTTTGCTGCTTCCCCTCCTGTGGACCTTTCAGAACTCGCGAGATGGCCGTACCTTCACTTCAGCAGCGCGACACGTGACAGCAGATACCGCCACCATTGTATGTTTCAATTGGGTTGCATGCCGCAGCATGACGCAAGCCAAGTCGGTGACTCATTCGCACCTTTGCTTTGGAAGCCGTTTTGGAGTTACCTCATGGGTGAACGGGAGGCGGGGCTAATTCAAGAAAACCGCCGCGAGCAAGCTTAAGGCAGGCACCTGTGTCAACGCCCTCAACACCTGTCTCACCTGCCTGCGACGTGGCTTAAGGATGGACGGAGCCAACTGAGCCCTTGCACGTGACTCTTGACACAGCTCAGCCAGTACCGGTCTGTTTGAGCGGCTCCTCTTGCTGTCTCGGTTCTGGTCCGGTTTCAGCCGGAGGTGGACCTCGACAAAGAACCCAGCAGAAAAGCTCAAGAAACTCCGAAGTCACTGGGGATGTTGCCGGCTTCTTGTCTGCTCTCAGTCGCTGGATGGAGGGCCTTGCACTTGGCAGAGTGCTGCCATGGATGCTTCGATGGCACTGTCTTCCCTCAGGCCTCAGGACTCGGACGAGCTTGGCTCTGCCGAGCCTGCCACGCACGTATAACTCATGTAGATCCGTAGACAATCGGACCCACGACAGCGAGAAAAAAACCTGTTGTGAATTAGTACTCTTTTGCCCCCCCCTAACTTGAGGATGGGGCCAGCAGGGATCATCCGAAACAGGCGGGACTGGCTGCTACACCCGAGGCCCTCCTCACAACCCACGTGATAGATTGTCGATCATGATTCGTCGCAACACATGTGCATATCTGTCTTGCCAGTCTTGCCATATGCACACGTGCAAATTCCAATGTTGCGCTATTTGATTCCCTCTCTCTCTGCCGTGCCATCATCAATTGTCTCGCAATGCAAGGGCATTTGATGGCAGCACATTATTCCAATCAGCGGAAGGCACGAATTGAATGTGGTGTCACTCACGGCCTTTCCAAACTTGTGCGTATACAAGCGTGCACGTGCTCATATACATGATCATCCACAACTACACATGTATCTACAATCATCATGCTCGCAAATACACATATATCGGGGGAAAGGCTCAGCAGAGTGACAACGAAGATAGTCAGAGGGATAGTAGATGGATAGATAGGTAGGTAAATAGATCGAGTGCACCACAAAATACAAGGTGTCCACTCCATCTTGCAACTTGTTCCCCAGCCGGATGCTGGCCCCCGGACCTTTCTTCGAGCATGACGGTAGACATCACTTAGGGCCGAATCGCCGAAGGCGTCGACAGGTCCGGCCTCTGCCTCCAGTCTCTGCACTGCTGCCTCCCGTCACTCGAGGTTTTGGCAAAGGCAACAGAAACCTCAAACTGTGGTGCTCCAATGCCTGGCACTGAGACGTGCCAGTAAGCCGGTGCAAAGCAGTGCCCATCCATCCGAAGGTGAAAGTGATCCTAGCGCTGTGTGCCACACTGGCCTCGAAGCTTTGCTGCAGCTCACGGACTTGCTCTGCATGAGCAGCCTGCCGGTCTTGTGTATCACAGGTACATCAAGGCCCAAGGCATGACAACGGTTGCGGTTCGTCTGTGTGTGTGTGTGTGTGCATGTTTGTGGTGCCAAGCCAGCTCTGGGGTGCCGGCAGCAAGCTGCAGCAAGGCAGTGTCCAGCCTGCTGGCCTTGCTAGCAGGGGCAGCAATCATCCAGCGAAGAAACCGACACAACAAGTGCTTTGGCGAGATGAAACGCTGTTAGCAAAGAGTAGTTGCTCACGAAATCTCTGGCCTGCGGTGGGATTGGCCTTTCCAGCTTCCACACAGCAACAAGCTGACAGCTTCATGCGACTGCCCACTACATGTGCAGCTGCAGAAGAGAAGGATGCGGCAAGTAAGCAGAAACCGAGCTTGACGTGTGCACTAGCGCCTCTCATCATCATCAGCGACATCGCCCAGGGGTGCTGGAGTTCGGGTCGCTAACCTGGCATGATGTGTCCACAAACATCGTATCGGAAACCCTGGACAGCCATGCTGGGAACCTGTCTGGCTCTGGAACCGGGCACACTGGCCGAGACAAGACCGGGTGCGTCCCACGAGACACCTTTGCAGTCACACCCCTGCAAGCCATCTCTCGAATGACAAGCCAAGGCAAAGGCCGAGCGATCATGAGGCTTGAAAACCTGGCTCTCGTCTTCCATTGGGCTATCGAGGCATCTCGACTTTCGAGTCCTCACCGAAGGGGCTTGAGCCGACGACACGACAGCGGACAGGCCAGGCTGCAGCGTCACATCTTGCGTGGTGGGCATGAGTGAGCATGACCACATGCCACTGAATCCTGATGGGCTTCACCACTGCAAGGCTGCAGCTTATTCAAGAGAAGACGAACCGTTGCAACTTACTAGTATTGGCGAGGTTGGTAGGTAGACACGGGCGGTTACTTGCTGATACGAAATCAGCAATGCAGCACCTCGCAATCCCTGTCGGAAGCCAGCTCTGCCAAATTCCACTGCTTGTTTTCCAGCCTGGACTGCACCCACATGTTCCAACGAAAGACATTGCGGGCATCTGCATCATCGCTCATCCGGCTCTGCTTAGGCATTCGCTCGAAGCATTTCCGTCGAACCTGCATCCAGCAGGACTCTGACAGGAACTTCGAGGTACACTTCCTCTTGGAGCAGAACTGCAACACTCAAAGTCCCGAAAACTCCAAGTGTTTCATCAAGGAAGGTTCGAAACAAGCGCACGTATGATCAGCAGATAACGAATCGGGCGGACCTCCGCGAGCAGCGGGTCGGATCTAGCGAAACGAAAGGCTGCACGCCTGAAAGCAGAAACTGGTAAAGGCTCCGCACAACCCAGCTGACCTCCCCACCTAAGCTCGCATCCATCCTTTCGTGCTTCGAGCACGCTGCTGCGCCTCGAGCTTTGACATGTGACATGTGGCACAGGCCGTCTCGTGCTGGGCAGGATGCGACTCAGCACCCAGCCACGGCGCATAGAGGCGGGCCTCCTTCAGGTACTCATACTCCTCCAAGACCGGCAAGCTCAGGCTCCAGAAATCTCCAGAAGATGCTGCAACGAAGGCGGCAGGTCATTTTGAACGGCTATGGTACTTGATGCCGCAGAAATCTCGCGGCAAGGAACGGAGCAGGAAACGTCCGTGACTTTCCGCTCTGCGTGCTCTCGTGGGAAGCCGCAGCAGAAAAGCCTTCGCATGTGAAACGCCGATAGACGGCCGCTCAGTTGGCACGTCCAAGCATCAAGCCTGACAAGGAGACCGCTTTGAAAGATGCCCACACAATCTGCATGAGATGGACATGCTGTGCGTAGGGCACAATTTCAGGAAAAGGTTAGGCAAGAGGACACAGCTCAAGCCACGACATGCTTCCGCCTGGACCTGGAACATCTGGCCGGGAGCCTCAATTGCACAAAGTTGAACCATTGGCAGAACGCAGGCTGACGTCTGACAAGATAATTCAGGGAAGCGACAACTCCGGCAGGGATCTGCACTGTGACTTGTCGTCCATCTGGGGTGGTCACCATAACAGGCGTACCTCCGACAGGGCCATCTTCGGCTGATTCTTGCTCGGTCCTGAGTTTACCATACTACACTTACTACACCATATTTACCCTCACAAAAACAAGAGTTGGACGTGCTCCTCGTCCTCTTGGTAGTGGTAGTAGTGATAGTAGTAGTAGTAGTAGTAGTAGTAGTAGTAGTAGTAGCAGTAGTAGTTGTCGTGGTAGTGGTAGTGGTAGTAGTAGTAGTAGTAGTAGTAGTAGTAGTAGTAGTAGTAGCAGTAGCAGTAGCAGTAGCAGTAGCAGTAGCAGTAGCAGTAGCAGTAGCAGTAGCAGTAGCAGTAGCAATGGTAGTAGCAGTGGTAGTAGTAGTAGTAGTAGTAGTCGTGGTGGTAGTAGTAGTAGTAGCTGCTATGCGCGCCTCCAGGCCTCCAGGCGCCTGGTGTTAACCCCTCTGTTTTTCTGCATTTTTTGGCGTTTTGCGAGGGTGCCAGGGTAGTGGGGTGGGGGAGGGGGGGCTAATAACGACATGGTTGACCGCAAGCAGTAACGCAGTAGCGCCGGTAGCAGTAGCAGTAGTAGGATGCTTGTGACAACGTGTCTTGCTCCACATCCTTGTGCAGCATGTTGTACAAAGAACAGAAAATGCTGTAAATACCAGTGGTTTGGGCATGATCGCCAAAGGCAGTGACATCAACATTAACCTGACCATCTACATCATCATCTTCATAACCATCATCCTTATCATGATCCTCATAATCCTCATCATCATCATCATCAACATAAGCCCAAGCAAGTAGTTGGTTCGAAGATGCCTCAACTACAATTTCTAGAAAGTAGTTAACTAGTTAAAACCTAGCATTTTTGACACTCCACCACTCAAAACTACCAGGCGCCAGGAGGCGCGGAACCCTAGTAGCAGTATCTGTAGTAGAAGTTGTTGTTGTAGTAGCAGGAGTAGTAGTTGTGAAAGTATTCAAAAGCAAGAGTAGGACGGGGGGGGGGAGGAGTAGCAGCAGAAGCTGTCGTGGTGGTTGTCGGCGATTGTCGCCGTGGTGGTGGTGCCAGTATGTGGTTCTGTTGTTACTACTGTCTCTGCTACTGCTTCCCCTTCTCACGGCCGGTATTACGGCACAGAAGACACCATTGACAGTTCCAGCAGGCCTGGGCCTACACCAGCGGGACACTGCACTTGAAACGCGGCTGGAGCGGCCACCTCAGGCTTGCCGGGCGAACTGCATCTCTTCTGGAAGATTGAGAATCATTGATTGACAAGTTTGCATTGCATTCTGAACCTCGCGAGTGGCGATGGCTACATGTGCCCGTCCTTCGCGTACTACTCTGTGCGAGACTAAAGTCAAGTGGCCGCCGGCTGAACCACTGCGGTTGGCATCACTGCTGCTTGGGCGAAAGCGGCAGGCTGTACCTCAAGGGTGTCACATGGTAAATTTCCGGTAGCAAGAAGTGGCCACAACTTCTGGATCCGAGTCACGGGAGTAGCATTCATCCTCGGCGGAGGTGAGATTTGCGATGCAGTGGGTCGGCAAGGGAAGCGAGGCCCGTGAAGGCTTGGGGCGTGAGGGAAGCAGAGAATAGCTTTGGCTGTTGGGGCCTTTGCTGCTGGCAGTATCCATCAGGCTGCATCTCCGAACCCTGCAAGTTCTGTAGCGTGTCCTCGCTCGGTCGCAATAGCAGCAGGAGCGGCACTGGGAGCGCTGGAAGGGAAGGGCCGAAAGGCGTACAAGGAAATCTCGGAGAAGGGTGCTAACCCACCCGATGTCTCAGAGGCCCCTGCCTGTCATCCGAAGAAAAAGCTCATCATCCACGCAGGCGAGCAGAGGATGGCAGAGGTCTACGGTAAGATGGATGACAGATACAAAGTAAGATTCATTCTCTCGCTTGCCTGGCCTGGAATCCACAAAGACGAGCAAACGGCAGTCCGGGGCAACAGCAAAAACACCACAGGTAACGGCCGTGAAAAAGAAGAAGAATGGGAACTGTGAAAAAGCAGAAGAATGGGAACCGCACTGATACTAACAGCCACAGCAGTACCAGTGGCAGTGGCGGCAGCAACTGTAACAGCAGTAGCGATAGCGACAAGGCTAGAAACGGTATTGGGTTCTGAGGCCTGGGAGGAGGAGGAGCGCGTACGCTGAATCCGATAACTTCAACATGCCAGTACATCCGCTGCTGCGCGAAGTCGCTGAAGTTTGCTCTGTTAGGAGGGGGTGAAGGGGGACCCCCCCACCAATCAACCTGACAAGGGTGACATCTTATTGGCGATAGGGTCACCCCCGCTCCCCTGCCCTTGTTTAGGCACGTGAAGGGGAAAGGGTGGAAATCAGGTGAGAAGGGGGTACGGAGGGTCCGAACGGGAGGCCGGCACAAGCCATTGACTATTGAAATATCGAAGCCCCTGAAAGTACCTTTAACCCCGAAGCAAAGCTTGATTGGAGAAAAACACTTCTCCCAAGCAGAGTTGTGTAGCTAGCTTCCGTGACGAACCTCTTCGAGAACACCCAAGGAGTTTCTGTATGTTGGCCACAGCTGGCCACAGGCAAGCTTCTCCACTGACTGCACGCCAGGTTGTCTCGCGCTCCTCCGTCGCACCTGGAGCTCGTGCCACGTAAACAATGAACAATCGATAGTGCCCGTGGCATGCAAGCGGGGCGCTGATTTCTGACCTTTCTGGCTGCTACCGAAGGCGAAGACCGCCGCAAACAGGCACAAGGAGACAGACAGAATCGCCACTCCTTTTACTGGCCTGCAACAGAAGAGTCATATTGGTCTTGCCGCTATCTGCTGGCACAGAAGTTTTGGTCTCAAACTTGCTCCCTCAGTTTCAGTTTCGCCACTTCTGCGGCCTGAAAAAGAGCCAGGCCATTGCTATGCCCAACAGCCCGCAGGCAGCGCCCAAAGAACAGCTGACCATGCATACCAGGCAGGTAACGAGCCTCACTGCTTTCTGCCATGGCCCATGGCTCTTCAAAAACAACGCTTCTCTGGCCGAGTCACGTTTCCACGAAGTCTGCAAGGAAACCCAACAACCCTCCGATGCAGGGGATGCCTTTCAGTGTGTCTCCGAACCTGAGCAGCGCAAAGGAAGACGGCCTCTCCCACACAAACGAACCACCAGGCAAGCCGTTCATCCACACTTCCCTTTGCTGTGGGACGGGTTGGAATGCAACTACGACACTGATCAACCACCCATATCAGCGGAGAAAGAAAACCTCGGCGCATCAAATCTGCATAGTAGCTGTAGACCTGTCAACAATGAAGGAAAACAAACAGATTCGCTGTCTGCACCAGAGCATCAATAAAAAGCTGCCCAGAGAATCATCGGACCAACTATTCTTCCAAAATACAGCCACCACCTTGGAGCAGGTCAGTTGCTTTCAGGAAGACTGCTTCGGTCCAAATTGGCCCAGCATCTCGTTGAATTTTTTCTCCTCGTTAACCAACTCGTCCAAAGATAGGATCTTGTCCTGCAATCCGACGCATTGCGACGCTTCTGCAAGACCAGCATTCTGCCGTCCCCTAGGGTCCTGGCGCATGCGGTATCCTTGCTTGTTCGACCGCATCCCTGTCTTTGCCCTCAAATGCGTGTCCGACACGATCAGAGAGAAACCTTAGAGGAGCATGGGCTGCGGGGCGCCTTCAAGCCCTCTCGCCTTTCAACCTCCAGAGAATCACCGCACCCCCAGCGGAAACATGGACTGTGCACGAACTCCCATCCCGCCCTCTGGGTGTCCAGGGCACTGTCTCCATCCTTTTTGACTCCTGCCAGAACCGAGACCTCGCTGGTAGCCGATCCTGGGCATTTTCCGCTGCTCAGCACCTTCAAAGACTGCCTGCATGCTGCCTCCATCCTTGCCAGGGGTCGCTTGAAACAGATCCGCAAGTCCCCTCCCTGCGGCGCGGCCAGATTGCCCGTCGCCATAGGGCTAGACACCTAGGTCAAAAAGACAATCCATTGCGCCCGTCGAGAGTCGAACGGGAAGTCTCGACAGTCACGAAAGCCAAGGTTAGAAAGTGCACTCAAACCAAGCAAGCCACTAAGCAGGTATCTGATCGGCTGTACGAGGCTTCTCTGGATGTCCACTTGGCCGCACGGCTGTAGCCCTTGTACTCAATTTTATATTGCGTCTCGAAGGTAGACTGAATCGGATCCTTCCCGAGCACCTGCTTCCCGGCATCACCTCGAAACAGGTCCAGATTACAGATTAGGAGCAAGCCCTGGCTGCAGCTTGGAGCATGCTTTGGTGAACGCGCCACTTGTAGGCTTGAGGCGGCCCTTTTCTAACGGTTTGGCCCCCGGGTTTCGGATCGCTCCGATGCTGGTCTAAGCCCTCCGGTGGTTGATATTCAGACAGACACAGAGAGAGAGAGAGAGAGAGAGAGAGTTCGTCTTCCGGCAAGGAGGCGGGCGGGCACCCGCGTTGTCTCGACCCCGGACGGCTAAGACGCAAGTGAGGCATGGGGTTCCGCAAGCGCCATGGCCCCATGCAA